GGGGGGGGGGGGGTTGGCGACAGAGTGTGCCGAACGGACTTTTGTACAGTAAAACAACTGCTACCTGAGCCGCTCGAGGGGCGGAAGAGAACATCCCCTGGATCCGCTAATGGCTACGCTCGGTGTTAAAGTGTGTCCTGGCGATATCACTAACGTAAAATCCTCATATTGCTGGTCCAAAACGGTCCTGCTAATCCTGTGTAACCACAGATGGATTGATTCGCTGATCACTTGCTTGGTCCAGGAAGAATGAAATGCCTTCATCTGCAAATTTAAGCAGACGCGAAGCCTTAATTGTTATTTCTTAGATCAGGCCTGTTTTATCATTCAAACTTACTGTTTACTTGATCCGTAAACCATCTTCTTCAGGCAAAATCGAGTCAATAAGCGGATTGAAGAAAACATTGATGCGTGGCGTAGCAAGCTAGCAAAAACAGAAGGCATACGCGAAGGTGTGGCGAATATTAGGGACTGGCTAAATGAGGAAAAAAGGCGACAGGCCGAGCCGATCCCACTGCCTCTTCACGTCAACAAACTTGTTGATTTGGTCTGTATTTATGGTGCTTTATTGATTTACTACATTTTTTGATTGGACAGATAATTTGTGAGGCGCTCAGTTTTTTGCATGCTTAGTAGTGAAGATGAAAGATCAACCTGTTTTCGAGTTTGAGATCATGGACCCATAATGAATTTAAGTTCGAAAACTGACTGGTTTTATCCATTTTGTGCAATAGATGTATTAAAAAAAGTTAAACCCCTAGTCAGCACATTATTCTCATAAAAAGCGCTGGCTCATAATTGATAGGCAATGATTATCCTTATCATAGGTTAACTTCCTCTTCCCTCGCTTTCTTTGTTCTCTCTCTGTTTTCTCTTTCTTTCGCATATCCACCTTGCAAGTTAGACACATGGTGCCTATTTATACATGGAGGATGGGAAACTGTGCTTCTACCTGCACGCAGAATTCGGTCCGTGTTTACTGCTTAGAGATGAAACACAGGCTGCATCCTAAAATATCTTTTTACACATGACACTTAGTCCAGTCCCCTTTATTCTACTATTACATCGGAGTAGTAATTTTGTTGTTTCTTCATATTTTTAATAGATTTTATGAATTTTTGAAAAAAGTCTTGACTTCGTGCCAGAGAATTGAATCTATTGTGAGAAGTTTTTAGAAGCAACAAAATGAGTTGAAACTGCGGGACTTATCGTCACGTCAAAAAGTGCTGGCTGAGTTGCAAACTGAAGCGAAAAAGATAGCGGCTGCAAATCCGGATTCAGTAGCCAGTCGGCAGGTTCTCGATGATTGTGATGATGCCCAAAAAACTTTCACAACTTTACTCGCAACATCAAAGGTTCAAATTTTTCTTTTTTTCTTGAATTGTTAATATCGATGATAATTTGAGGCAAAAAAACATGAATTCCATGCATTGTTAAATTTCCTGTGAACAGTGGAAGTGCTTGAAATTAGTTCGATTTGTGGTACTTATGAGCAGCTAACCCCTTTTGAAATGGATTTCGATGTCTCCGTTCCCAAAAATTTGCTTGATGGCCGTTCCATGGTAAAAGCCAGTTGCAATTTATCATTGAAAAAATTAAAGCAGTCATGGAGGAATTAGTTACTCCGTTAATAATTAATGGTAGCAGTGAAAGCAGTAAAGGAAACTATCTTGCTTTAGATGGAAATGCAGAAAATGAGCATTTAGAAAAATATTTCTTAGCGGAACAGTGTGTAAAGTACCTAAAATAGCTGTTAATTTTTGATACGATTCTTTATCTGTACGCCTGGGAACTGTTCTACTCTTTCGAATATCCGTCTTGCAAATTAGTTGCAAGTCCTTTCAATACATGGCGGGTAAGTTACATGAACATAATTAGTTACATGTCCTTTCAGTACAATATCCGTCTTGCAAATTAGTTGCATGTCCTTTTAATCAGTACAGCTGATGATTCCCACTTTTACCAGTATGCATAATCCGGTCTGTGTTTACAGCTAAGGGATGAAACACGGAGACTGCATCGTAAAATATCACCTTGCTGAATCTAAAGGATGAAAGACAGTTTGCACCTTAAAATATCACCTCACGCATGACACCTGAGTATAATCCTTGTGGTTTATTATTCCACAATTGTCTTGACCGGTACCGCACTGCATGGCGGCCAGAATGCTAACATTTTTGGTGTCTGTTTCCTGTCCTGAACTGTTTATTGACTAGTGAAGAACACATGGCAAAAAAATATTCACTGAAGCAATTAGAATTTAAGTAAATATTAAATAGTTTCATCGATCTTTCTGTTTTGGAGTCCAAGGGGCAACTTCCATGACAACGAAAAGTAGTTCGCTTGTTCTTTATTTGTAGGCTTATGGTGAAAATATCACTGAACTGACTGCGGCTCTGAGCAACTTCTACGACAGCGAGAAATCTGTTAACGAAAAATTGACATCGCTGGATGAGAAGCTCTCACATACTTCACTGGGCGATGTCACAGTACTGAATGAAAGTCTACAAGAACTGACGCAAATGAAGAATGATGATTTGGTGAAACTGCACCAGAAGTGTAACTGGATTTTGGCCGTGCCGGATGTGGTTGGCGGTGATTCTCTGGAATCCAGTGTTAGTTTCTGTTTGCATAGTCCCGGGTTTCCCCTCTTGATCATGGTGACCACGCGAGGAAGTAAAATCCAATAGACAGGGAATTTTGCTTGCACTGTTGGCAACTGCTGAACGTTACATATTACTTAACTGATGATTTGTGATACGTTTCTAGCTATTAATTTGTGATAAGGGGAATAAACGATTTGGCAGACCTCCAAGGAAGAGTTACAGAAACATCGAACAGGTCATGGGTGCTAGCTAGAGGTATGTTGTTGCTCAGGATTCGAAGAGTCTGTTTTGGTCTTGCCCAGAAGCGGTAGGTAGCATTCCGGTAAAATCACCAACATAAGATTTTTTATATTTCTAGCCAAGGATTTTTAGTATTTTTGGTTTTCGAGTTGTAATTTTGTTCAGCAAGTTGGTGCTAATGGCCTGATTTGTCTGAAGGCAAATTTCACTAACACTCAAGATGAAGAGACTGATATAATCGACTCATTGGACACTAAATTTAGCACTGTAACATGCGAAATTGGCTCATTCAGGCATTTTTTGAGTAACTGTTGCGACCAGTTATGCCCACTGTATTATTTAGATTGCGAAAAGTGGCAGTGCTATTGAAAAGCTAAAAACAACAGTCGGAGAGCTTATCACTCACGGACGCGAAATTGAGGAGCAACAGAAAGCATACGATGAATTAAAAAATAAACTGGTTGCCAGTCTGGAAGATACTGAAACCAAAGCTCAAGGTATGCAGTGGTAATTTAATCAAATATTCTAACTGCCTCAAAGTTTTTGGTTAAAAAAAAGCAAAATTTAGTGACAGGCTACCCCAGTCACTGCACCTACAGGCTAGCTTATTTGGGAGACTAAATGGCACTTCCAGTGCTTTCATTAATTGTCAAAATTTGATTGTGTTCCTCTCCATGCTGGTAGGCCAGAAGTGCCAAACAAATTGCATATTTTAACACATAGAAGATTTCAAGCCCTCGTTCTCTTCCAGTTTCCTTGCTAGGAATATTCAATGTTTTTGTATCTTTAAAATTTCTACGCAAGACACTTATGATGACCAAAATTAGGTATTAGCTGTTGGAATCTGCAAAATAGGAAAAAATCAATTGAATCGTCTTTGAATAAGCATTTTTCTTGCTCTCTGGACAAGGTATACGTTAAAAAATCACTAAGTAAACGCTGGCAATAGGAAAATTAAAAAAGATGGTGGAGTAGTGACGATCGGAGTCTGATGATAACGTTGTGAGCTTCAAGGTGATAGACTGTAGGCTTCGGCTCGTTTCTGCTGGTATAGCTGTATTTTTTTTTAAGTCAGCTCTTTTAAGTTTTGGAGAAGTGTACGCTAAATCCAGTGGAATTAGCGAAGCAGCGTTCGACATGCCAACAACTGCAGTCGGTTCATCAAAACTGTGCAGCACGGTTGGAAAAATTGAACGAAATCAGTTCAAAGTTGGTCGAATTGGAAGCGGTTGCAAGGTTTGATGTAACTTTTTTTTTAAAAATTATATTGCCTGTAGCTAGTGGACGGTGTAATGGTAAGTAGCGTTTTTACTGTTTAGAGATTCGGGGATTTTGCTTCTCAATAGGGCATTCAGGCCTTCTGTGATTCATAACCGTATGATTCAGGCATTCACCCGTTTCGATGGTAAATTGGTGTTGGCGCTTGCCAGAGGGTCAAAATTTTCCATCGTTTTTCTTCTGAGCAGCCTCAAAAGAGAGTCATGAACAAGCCGTGCCAGTGAATGGTAGTTGCTGACATTTGTTACTGCTATGAATATTTCTGAGTTCCGTTTTTTTCCCCCATAGGAAGTAAATGCGAAATGGGTCTTCACTTTTTGGCAGTGTATTTCTGGTTCGAGCAGCAGCAGTCTGCGCATTCCCGAATGATTTGGAAAGCGTTTCAAGAAACTATTGAGAAGACAACACTGATTGCAACCTTTTGCGTTTTTTGCGTTTAGTCGGTATGGAAATTGGTGAAAAATTTTATCAATTAGTATTTTTTTTTCTAGAAAACAACCCTTCTTAACTTTTCGATTTCTAGAAATGCAAGAAAATGTTTTGTTGGCAAGTAAATTTGTACAGGAATTAAAGTCCATTATTCACTGAGTTTAGCGAAGAAGGCATTAGCAAGTAGCACGATTGGTAGCACGGGTTAGCAGCAGTCATTCACTGGCAAAATTGTCGGTGGCTCCCTCTTCCTATATTTGCATGCCACTACCAATTTAGTATGGCAGTGAATGAACAGATCGTAGAGGGACTGATTTTTCCACTGGCGAAGAAACCCTTGGCCTTCATTATGAGAGTGGTGTTGCGTGTTACAGATTGTTATTTATATCCATCAAGTTTAGTCGTAATATTTGTTCAGGAATTATCTGAATACTTATTTTCGCCTTGATTTTCTGTCCTTCGCAATAATACCGTAGTTTTCTATCGTTTCAAGATTGAAAATGAAAGGAAGTGGTGCCGGTCAACTGGAACAAACTCAGGCGACTGCTGTACGCGATATTTCTTCGTTGCAACAAAGGCACGACGCTCTCGGCTCATTACTGAGATCAAGGGGCGAAAAAATTAGTGCCGACAGTGAGAGCTTATCGGACTGGGACCTAAAACGAGACGGTCTGGCACGTTGGATCAATAGCGAGATCAAAAGATTGGTAGGTTTTCACCATTATATTCAGCGTCTTATTGTGCCTTGATTTGTCTTTGGGGGTTTTTTTGGTTCAGGAATTACATTTTTGTGGTTCAGAATTTATTGGTTTCGGTTTCTGTTTTTATAGATTTTAAAGTTTTATTTTTTGTTTTTTTGCCTTTTCCCAATTTATAATTTTTACATCAAATAGGCCTGCACTGGGTTGATTTTTAGTGCAAAGATTTTTGCTGGCGCATTGCTTCTAATTGTTTATTTAAATCTGAAAATATTATAGGCTAAAGAGTGCCCAACAACATTAGACAGTCAAGTTATTGAAGCAAATATCGCCAAAGCGATTCGTTTGGAAGAAATTCTTGCAAGGGAGAAACAGCCAGAAATCGAGGAAATTCGGCTGAAAGCACGCCCGCTGATGAGTGATCCAACGATTCCAGGCACATCGGAAATTGTCACTGGACAGAAAGCGCTCGAAAACAGTTGGGATGAATTGAGCAAAGCAGCTGCGGCGCTGAAAAAGCAAAATGAATTCGCAAAACAGCTCCGTGAAGGTAATTGCTCTTTATATACAAGTATATTATTACCACTATTGTTGGTTTTGTTAAGCCGATTGTAGTAGCATCCAAGTTGACCCTGAATGCCGAAGTGTCGAAAGCGCATTGAATACAGAAAGCAGGAAAGAATGAGCGGAAGACTGTGAAATTTTGCTTGAGATTCGTTACGAATTAGGGCTTTTTTTTGACTTCTTTGATTTACAGGAACGACAGATTTGGATAAATGGCTAAAACAGAGAGAACGGATGATGTCCGCCATTGGTACTGTAATCCTTGATCCCAAAGTTATCGATAATCAAATTATACAACTAGAGGTAATTGCAAAAAAAAAAAATTTGCACTAAATGAACGTGTGGAGATAGATTTAATTTTTCACGTTTCAAGTAAATTTAAGTTTTTTCACGTTTAGATTTAACTTTTCATAGATAGATTTAAGTTTTCACGTAAATTTTCACGTTAGCGTTCCATATGACTGAATAACATGGGACAAAATGATCATGAAATAATTCAAAATTTAAATTTAAGCGTGAGATAATTCAAAACTTAAATTTTAAATAAATGAAAACACTAAAAAAAATAATCCGTATGCTTTTCACCGATGAATTCTCTGTTAAACTTTTGCATATTTGTGAATTTCAGTTGCTTCAAAACGAGCTTGAGGAACAGAGTGGAACACGGAATAAGATCAACGAATTGGCGCATGATTTGGTGACCGGAAGTGCCACTGCAGCAGATGCGCCACAGATTGTGGAACAGGTACGGGGAATTTGCTTGAAAAAAGAGGCTTCTAGAATTTTTGCAGTGATTTTTGTGCATGATCTGAACGCATCTATTCTCGTTTCAGATGGATGCATTGAATAGACGATGGATTTCATTCCAAGAACAATTGGCGGAAAAGAAAACAAACTTGCAAAATGTGAAAGCAGTGGCATTCGATTTTTCCACCAAACAGAGAGATGTGAAGTAAGTATGATTTTTTTGGACTGTTGCCCATTTATGCCCTTAAATTTGCTCCCCAGGGCATCCGTCCGATCTGTTCAGTCTTTTTTCCCTTACTTTTCACCCGTTTCACGGCGGTTTTGTACTCTGCGCCGGAGCGGCACTCCAAAACTGCGCGGCACAGAGTGTCTAATTAGCTGCAAAGGCCTCTACGTATGAGGGCAAAATCACTCGAGATGAATTTAGAAGGTAAAAGAATCGATATCGCCACGCAACTGGCTGTGAGACAGTTAAAGGGCATTTTTTTTTTTGGCCTTAAGACGATATTTTTGAGAAACCACTTGTTTACTTTATTGTATAGTTTTATAATAGATAGTTATAATAAGAAGGAATGAAATAAACGGGATGAAAAAATCAAGAAATGAGAATTAAAAAATTAGAAAATTTGTGAGATTATTAAAATGGTAAGAAATATTTTGGTCTACTAAGTTATAAATTTCGCGTCAGTTAGCACAAAATTAATTTTGCGAGAAAATATATTTTAGTTAAAATGAAAATTCCATTGATTTTGCTGTTTGTCAGGATGCAGCTGCTTGCCCTTGCCGAAGAAATCGAGCATCTAAGCCAATCACCACTGACAACCAAAAGTGATGTGGCTGAGCAACTCGAAAAATTGGACAAATTGGGTGTGCATACGAGCGAAGTCGACGCACAAATGGTCGAACTAAAGCAAATGGCAAATGTTATCTGTGAATTTGTGCACGATCACGCTTTGCAAGCCGATATTCGCGACCGGTTTAATGCAACACTGCAAATCGCACTGGAGCTGAACAAAAAAATAGGTAAGAAAAAGGAATTTTTTAGCTAAATTTTTGGGTTTCTGAGTTGTCTGCATGGAGTACTGTGCACTCATTGCGCTTATCAGTTGTTGTATTTGATAATGACATCGTTTCGCATTTTGCCCTTACCATGGCTTTTAGGGTGGTGGCTGTATCATCTGTTGATTAACTCGCTAGTAATTCAGGAGCTCGTTTTTCTATTTTTTTTTTGGTTTTTATAGCGAAATATTCACATTGGTAAATGCTTGAAACAGCCCGGATTATTGCAAGTGATGTTTCGGTTTTCTAGCTGTCGACTTTTCCCGTTGATTTGAACAATGCGGTTCAGCTTTGCGGACAGTATGTAAACGATCCTGACGTTCTTTTCGTCTCCTGAAGAGATTACCAATTCAGCGGTTCTCTTAACATAAGTACTTGGTGGGGTTTAGTCATTTCAAGTTGTCCTTGGTGTATGCCGAATTTCATCACATCATCAAAACCCGAGAAACTCTTTAAATAAAAATGAGAGAGATAATTCCCCTCAGCGTTTTGTATTAAAATTTTTTTCAAGAAAGCATGAAGGCAGCAGCAGCAAGTGTGAAAGATGAAGAAGGACAAACGGTGAAGGAAGCTGAGGCGGCAGTAATTTGGATCAGAGATATGCATGAACAGCTTTTGGACCTCGGACAGCTGTCGGCTGTCTCCTCGGAATTGAAGGAACAGAAAAAAGCTATCGAAACAATTTACAGTGCTGTATTAAATAAAGAAGGTGATATTACACTGCTCAGGTTCGATATTTCCACTATTCTTTTGTAGTTTTTAGGCTGTTAATTTTGTTAAATTTGTTTCATTTGATCCAGGGAATGTGTGGGGGGGCCTTCTAAATTTAAAAATCGTGTTTTTGGAACAACGGCCTTTCGTAGCCGTTAGTTTATTCATGGCTTTTATAACCGCGGCGCACCTTCTTGGCATAAATTTACCGCTCAACAATTACAGGTTTCATTTGGGAGGTTAAACTTGTGTATGCCCAAGAATTTCTTTATATTTGCCTCATATTTCTTCGGTTTGTCTCATTTTTCTGCCCGGTTTTTCCTGAGTTTTTTAAACTGTTTCAACCATATCTGTTAGAATATCTGATGAATATCTGATGAAAAGTTATCTGTTCTGTGTTTCGCCCTTTCTTCTCCGCTATACATAGGCAGTGTTTTGATCTGTAGAACTAATTCGATGTAGCACTGAAATCCTTGCCGGCGCAGATATTGCGGGATTTCTGGTTGTCTGTATTTTGTACGATGAAAATTCTTTAGTTATGTTTATTTGTAAAAAATTGCTCCAATCGTGAGCGGTTTTCTAAGCAGTCTTCGGTGAGCTACTTCCAAATATCGCCACCTACCACGGAAATTACCGGGGAGAATAAGGGAGAAGAAGGGAGGTTTGGCGCAAATCAGTGCACTCAATGCCGTTGAACATTTTACGTGGTTCTGCCGGCAAACGCTTGTTTCTAAGAATGTTCACTGCTTTACAGTTTGATATGTGTGGAAGCAGTCATCTGAAAGTGTTGTAAATTTCCCATAAAAATACAAGTGTCCGCAGGTAGAGCCAGGTATACGCGGTGGGTGAATTTTCAAAATCTATGTTTTCTGTCTAAATCGGTTTCTGAACTAGAAAATCTCTCAACGTTAAATTTCATATATTCATATATATGAAAGCGTGGACATGTGTGACGGCAGAATTTGTATTTTCGGAGCCGCGCATGAATATTCTTCCAAAATTTCAGTTGCTTTTCTAATTTCTTAGCTAATGAATTCCCACCAAAGCTCCCGCTGTCCGTGTAATGAAGTTTTCTAGGCACATGTAGAAACAATTTTAAATTTGCTCGATCGGACATGAGCGGGAATATTCTCCTAAAGTTTTAGTTTTTTGGCTTTACGATTACGATTTGTCAGGTTTAAGTATTTTTGTTTTGCCAGGTGAGCCAATTTTATCATCTTCTAATCGTTTCCTTAGTTTTTTCCTTCTTTTAAGGGCTAAGTTGATGAATCAAATCAGAACGACCCCGAACCCGGAACAGAAAGCAATGCTGGATGCTCTTTCGGCCGTATGGAATCCACTGCTAGAGGAAAGCAAAGCAAAACGGGCGTCAGCTGAGCGAGCTTTTGATTATGTTGCTCAACTGGAAAATGCACTGAAGTCATTTGCGGCACAGGTAGATGAGGACCGCTCACGGCTGCGCGATATTCTTGAAAATAAGGTTTTTAATGTTAATTTTTTTTGTACTGAATGTTTTATTTATGCATCTATTTAACAATAAATCAGAGAGCGGAAGCTTGGAGGAGGTCACAGGCGGATGAAGGAAGAGCTCAGGCACTATAAATTTTCGCCGATTTTTCAATGAAATTGAAAATTCTGCGGAATTTTGGCACTTGGGATACCCGAAAAGCTGCTTTTTCATTGTCCATTTGTCCAGTTATGTGTCGAACTGTTGCTTGACCAATGCTGCATTGTCTGGTATTGAGCCAACTGGTGGCGTTTGATTCAAAAAAAAAGGATTATCAGGTATAAGATCCCCCTAATACAAGCATTTGGCAAGGCTTTAGCCATGCTCAGAATTTCTTGAGTGTGTGTGTGTGTGTGTGTGTGTGTGCGTGTGTGTGTGTGTGTCTGTGTCTGTGTCTGTGTGTTGAGCATCACCACATCGTTTCAAATGTTTGCCAGTGCGTTAGCTCTTAAAATCATTTTATTGTGTTATTTTATTTTATTATTGGAATTTTCTTCAGGGCAGCGATGTGTCTGCGTTGAGCGAAATGGAGCATAAATTGAGCAAGCAGGAAGCGGAGCTCACTGCAATGGAAACACTTCTGCACAAACTTGAAGCACTAACAGCTGGCCCATCATTCAAAAAAATCACCAAAGAAATAGAGAATGCAGCTGCAGATTTGTTGCAACTACAGAAAGATGTTCGAAATATTGCTCTTGCCGCACAGATGTCGGTATGTTTATTCTCTTTTCAAGCTGAACAATTTTAGTTTGCATTTTTGGGATTAATTTTTAAGATGATAGAAAACCATTGGTAAATTTTGTCATGCGCCCAGCTGTTTGTTTTTTCTTTTTTCTTTTCAAATTTGAAAGAATTTTCCATCCTTCAGAAGGATGTACAAAATCGATTTGCGAGATGCAAAGAGGAAGCACGTGGCTTGTTGAGTGAGGCAAAGGAAGCGGCCGAAAATCTACAGAAAAAAGCCGATATGGAAACGCCAGCAATTACAAAAGAAATTTTATTGAAAAGTAAGCTTTTTGGAAAATATCTTAAATGCTAGATCACCCCATGTTGTTGAAGATGAAGGCACTCGGAAGTAGCCCGAATGGTTTTGCTAATAAATCACTTGCTAATAAAAATGTCATTGCTCAAATTTTTCAAGAATTGCTCAGAAGTAAGCTGATGGCGATTATACAGCTGAACGTATCATACGCTTTGCTAGGAAAGTTAGATTTAGTGTAGCAGTGAGTGACACATGAAGTAATAGCACTTTTTTTGGGACACATGGTCCTAAAAAAAAGCAAAAAGCCCCACCCCCTCCCCCCCCAAAAAAAAAAGAAAAAATTAATAATATGCAATGATTGCAAAAAAAAATTGCGAAAAATTGCAAAAAACAACTGCAAAAAAAAAGTCTCCCCTCCCCCAAAAAAAAGTATCAAAAAAGTCCCAGTAATTAATACGCGCGTCAGTCATTTTTTTTGGTTGATGTTTAGTAATACTGAGTGCAACAGAATTTCAAAATATTGCGCGATTTCAGCATTAACTGGTTTCGAAAACAGCTGGCAGAAGAAGGAACGCGAGCTACAGGCAACTCTGAAAGAAGTTCAAGGAACTGTTGGCCGTGAAGAGTGGCGAAATTGCGATGAGGAGGTACGGCAGATTGGTGCCGATTATGCTGAGGTGATCGCAAGCGTCAATTTGCTGCATAGTGAAATGAAAAAGAAAGATGAATTGCTGGATGCCGTAAAACAGAAAGTTGTTGAGCTCGGTTTCGAAATTCGCAAAGTAGCTGGTGATGAATTTGCACCGATCGCACGCAATTCTCCGGAGCTGGAGGAGCAGAATCGGGACTGTGATGCGCTGCTGGCAAAGATTGATGAAAAGGAGAAAGCACTGGATGAGCTCACAACTGAATGGCAACAGGCCACGCAAACTGGCATCGTTGGATTGACGCAGAAAAATGCATTAATACAACAGTTCACCGAACTCAAAGGTGATATCAGTAAACGACGTGCTGCTGTAACACAACGTAAGCGACTGATTGTCAACACACAGCTTGCACTGCAGGAATTTATCAGGTTAGTTCGTTTTACAGATCTATTTTTTTTCCCTTTGAAAACTTACAGAGATCCGTGCTATGGATTTCGCTTAATTTTGCATAAAAAGTGACTATATGTCTGCATGATGTTAGAAAAAAAAGTGCAAGAAATTGAAGGGGGGGGGGGCGAAAAATTGGACCTGAACATTGCTTAAAAAGG